GGATACAAATCACATGTGAATGGAAAAACAACTGAAAATAATTTGGCATATGGAGGTATTTCTCTTGAAGTGTGATTTACCAATTAGAAATAATGGCTATATAGACCTACATTAAAAAAAAAAAAAAAAAAAAAAAAAAAAAAAAAAAAATCTCCTCTGGAATACTATACATTCTGTTACATAAAAATCTCTGCAATGCATGAGATTGAAATGAAGAAGAAAGTATCTTACAAATGGGCTTGGTGGACTTCATAACGCCTCCTCGCATATCAACCCGATTGATTTTTCTCACTTCTTCTTGAATTCCTGACATGAAGGCATCGAGAGGATCAACTTCATCCTCCTGTAAAGTGAAACAAGCACATTTTATCATATGTTCTCTATTCCTTGGAAACCATCCATCTTTTCCTCAACCATCTACAAATATTATAAATGAATAACAAAGAAAGGCAATACAAAATTGGAATCCCTTCTTATTATGTATACCCTTTAAATGTAAATGTCATGAACACTACTCTCCAAATCACCTCACCATGGGCAATCTTTACAGTTATGTTTCGAAGATTCTAATGAAATGTAATTAATGTATTAGTATTTTTTTATAAATTGTAAAGTAATAAAATAGTTTCCATGACACAAAGATATTAACTGGAAAAAAAGGAAACTGTCAGAATAATAGTAAATACAGTGAATAGATATATAAGCTCAAATATATATAATAATGAATTACACACCTCTTCTACTTTCCCTTCTGTCTCTCTACTTTCTCCCTCTTCCTCTTCATCATCATCTTCTAAACTCCAGGCTTTTATTGACACTTTGGGAACATTAGCTCCTAGTGTTCCCTTCTCTGCTTCCTTCTTAGCTGCCTCAAGCTCTCGTTTCTTCTTCTCAGCTCTCCATTTCTCTATCCTCTCTCTTCTTTTTTGCATTTCCGCCTCAAGACGTTTCTCTGCTTCCTCCTGCCATGGAAGAACACCAAAAATAAATAACAATGTAAATTAAACTTCCACTTATGAACCATTTTGCCTTTTGGGCAAGGTTCCCTTGCTTCTGAATGTACAAATTTTCATGTGTATTCTTTTATGAAAAAAAAAAAAAAAAAAAAATAAATAATAATAATAATATAATAATAATAATAATAAATAAAAATATTAATAAATAAATAAATAAATAAATAAATAAATAAATAAATAAATAAATAAATAAATAAATAAATAAATAAATAAATAAATAAATAAATAAATAAATAAATAAATAAATAAATAAATAAATAAATAAATAAATAAATAAATAAATAAATAAATAAATAAATAAATAAATAAATAAATAAATAAATAAATAAATAAATAAATAAATAAATAAATAAATAAATAAATAAATAAATAAATAAATAAATAAATAAATAAATAAATAAATAAATAAATAAATAAATAAATAAATAAATAAATAAATAAATAAATAAATAAATAAATAAATAAATAAATAAATAAATAAATAAATAAATAAATAAATAAATAAATAAATAAATAAATAAATAAATAAATAAATAAATAAATAAATAAATAAAAAAATATGGCAAATAAATAAATAAATAAAAAATATGGCAAATAAATAAATAAATAAATAAATAAAAAATATGGCAAATAAATAAATAAATAAATAAATAAAAAATATTAAAAAATCAAAATAAATAAATAAATAAATATATATATATATACAACGGTAAAGGTATGTACCCCATACTAAAATTATTTGTACATGAGTCATATTTTCAAACCTTTCCATTAGCAGTGGTCTTAAATATGTATCTATTTAGTTATTTAGTTATCTTAAGCTGGATCTATTGCCATTTCTTCACTAATTTTCTAGCACTCAACCTCACCTTGTCTATCTTCGAGGGATCAAAATCTAGACCGGTCTCCTCTTCCTCCTTCAGTTCTGGTGGTGGTGGTTCCACAGGCTTTGGGGGAGGTGGGGCAGGTTTCACCTTGACTGGAGAGTGCGATTTACTTCTCTTATTCCTCTTCCTGTCTCTTTCTCGTTCTCTTGACCTGCTTCTGCTCCTCTTCCTATCTCTCTCCTTGTCTCTGGAACGCGACCTCCTGTCCCTTTCTCTCTCCCTGGACCTTGATCTGTCACGTGATCTCGAGCGCCTCTCTCTCGACCTTGACCTTCTCCTTTCCCTGCTTCTTGACCTGTGGCGATCTCGGTCTCTCGACCGGGATCTGCGAGATCTTCCCCGGTCCCGATCCCTGTCACGGTCTCTGTCCCTGTCCCTATCTCTGTCCCTATCTCTATCCCTTTCTCTTTCTCTAGATCTTGGGAAATAAAATAATACGTTAATGCTTCACAGTACACTTATCATTAAAGAAAAAAAAAAAAGAAAAAAAAAATCATGTATATCATCTCAAACAGTATCTAACATACAAATTTTAATTTCAGAAGATGTATCTTGTTTTTACTAACCTTGATCTCTTCCGTTCTGTGCTCCTGGAGCGACTCCTGGACCTCCTACGCCTATTTGTAGTTCAAAAATGGGAAAAAGAGAAGAAAATGAATATGATTTTCCTTTATTTCCTGTAGTATCATATAAATTTGTTCCACTGGTGCTTCTGCTGCAGCTGAAAGACAGCACGTAAAACCAAACCTAAGAATAACCATTTAAACTGATTATAAATCATTATTATTGTTATTCTTGCCCTCCTCAGCAACTAGGCCTAAAATTGTTTGTCTACTTCTATATAATGAATCATGTTAAAAGTTTCAGGAAAATTTAAATTGTTTTCGAACTGTCTTCTTTATCCAACACAGTTGTCTTGTGTTCTTTTAGGAAATTACCTTTTACATTTTTCTCTATGTGCAGTCCTCCTTTCAAGATTTATCAATGTACTGATCACTGCCCTAAAGCTGCATTTGAAAATACACTAACCCCCAAATTCTTGGTCCTGATATCACTCTAATAATAACATGCACAGAATAAGTCAATATATTATCTAATGCAACCCACCCCTTTGGGGGGTACTGTTCCCTAACCCCCACCCTGGAAGACAAATAATTCTCCATGCAGTCAATGCAGAATACAATGACAGACATGCAAAACTGCCTGATGCCAAGTCTGAACTACACTCGGTCCTGCCATACATGTCATGGTGGATTCATTGTTGTCCCAGGTGGGGGTTGGGGGGCATTAGCCCCCATGAGGGGATTGCATTTGACTATATATTCACCAATACTCTGTATTTTATTCATATTTTACTCTGCAATTTCCCTGGTACCATTCACGTCCTTCCCTACTATCAGGGCCAAGATTGTCAGTATTGAGAGGGTTTCCATGGCATAATATGTAAATACATGGGTAGTAGAGCGAGAGGAATCCATCGATATCACTATCATTGTGATCTGACAGGCAAATATATTCTGAATATTTACCAATACAAATATAGTGATAATTTCCTTTATTTAACATATCTAATCTATAAGTTACAACAGAATTACCTAACATTTTCCAAACAATTTTCTGTTATGCTTTCGGCTACCCATGTGACTAGCATGATTAGCATTGTTATATGTCAACCATATACTTGCATAGGTGTTTATTATCATTATATTAAATGTATTCTATCTAAAACAACCAAAAACTAATGACCTGCGATAGGCCTACAATCAATTAGTACAAGGCAAGTGGCGGATGCATGGATGTCTTCTGAACATTAGCCTTATCTTCAGATAAGAAACCAGCCTTATCTATTAATCATGCCCAAATATATGCGGTGCAGTGATGTTGACATGTTTCACACCCACTTAAAGGTGCTGCTGCTTCAGAGTTATTGTGTTTTATTCATTTTATATCACCCCTTGGGACACGCTTCATAGGAGTAAATGGATAATGACTAAGAGTTTGCATATTAACCCGCTGCTGCCGGGGATGGCATGTACATACATGCCATGCCCACTGTGAGTCGACTTGTTCGATTGTTTTTACACATAGAATGCTACACTTGTACTAAGTTTCCTATGAGCCAATTACGAGTACTGCCTGTCTCGCCCGTTCACCCTTTTCATCGATTTACGAAAATATTTAACGTTATCCTAGTTTGCTGTTAAAAATAACACCATCTATATTTATAGCACTAGTAAAAATACGTTTTTCCCCGCCAATTCAAGGAAAGGTGAAATCAGGACTAGCAGAGCCATCTATGGACTGAGATATTTCACAAAAAATTTTAAAATGAGTACTGCATTTCCCCATTTTTTGTTCATTTTCCCCGGCGGCAATGGATTAAGCTGTCGTCTTAGATACGGAAAACGTTTTTCGACAGAATCACAGAATCACAGAATTACCCTCCCCCAAAAAATACTAAATCAGCGTTTATTTCTTGATCCAACTTATGACAAACTTATCAAGGGAAGCTTTCAGGTGATAGCAACAGCAGTCACAAATCTCATATTCCTACAAATAACTTTTAATTTTAGATCTTTCTTATTTTCTCCCTCATAACACCAAAGAAATGACACATACCTGCTATCCCGTGACATCTTCGCCGTAAAAGAGAAGTTTTTTCAGAAAGAACTCAGAGAAATGGGCTTCTGTTGCATCCAACGCCGCTGAGGCTGTGATGGCCCGCTTCCTTAACTCAGGGTTGTGTTGTGGTGAAGGCGTCCTATCTCTTTCAATCTTTAAAGAGAAACAGTTGCTTTTCCTGCAATATAACTTATCATTTTATACTATGCTTGTATTTTTCAAGGTGTTGAAGAAGTATTGTAGTTAAACAGTCTTTTCTAAATATCTTGATAGATAAACTACGAATTATGATGCGGAAACAAGTCGTAAGTTGTGAATATCATCCAAAATTTTTATCATAACAGGGATCGTTAGTATAAAAGTATAGTCTAAAATAAAACACAGATTGTTTAGTTAGCTCATGATGCATCATATTAATATATGGAATATATATTTGATAATACGGAATATGTTGACAAGCTTCTGCTGTCACTAA